GTTAATTTGTTATGCAGCGATAGGCGACTGATACAGCCAATTTGTCAATTTTCTGTGATCCTAAATGTCCACTTCTTCAGCGACACACGAACACGTCCTAACTGGTGAAGACTAAATGTCCAGGTCACGCCAAAGAGCCGCTCATCCTTCCCCCTCTCTGAGCTTGGCGGGACTTTAGATACAGTGAGTGATTTTGTATGTCCCCAATTTTGCATGGGACAGACTTATACTAAAGAGTCATCCATTGTTTGCTGAAACTCAGATTTAACTGGGCGTCTAGAATTCCGTCTCCCAGCCCTGCCCCTGCGCCCCAGCTGACAGCAGCCCTGACTTCAGATGTGTGAGGGGGGTCCCCCCAGACTGAACAGTGTCCCCCATAACTGACCACAGCTGCACGAGCGGACCCAGCAGAGCCCACAGGACGGCGAGCTCATCAGCAGCTGCCGTCTGGGCGTTTGTTATGCAGCTGAAGCTGACAGATGCACACGGCTAGCAGGCAGCCCAGCTTCCGAGGCGTCCCCCCAAAAACCCCACAATCCTGCAGGAGTTCATTAAACAGGAGGGAGGCTCACGGAGGAGGTGGGGGCACCGAGAGATGCTGAGGGGCAGACCTGGGAGGGGGACGGATTCTGGCTTTTTAGCTGGAAACTCGGTTTTTATTTCAGCCTCTTGAATGGCCTGGAAGACAACATTCCTCCCTCCCCAGATCATGATACACGCAGCTGGGAGGAGACCGGGAAAGAACGTCCACGTCCTCGCACAGAAGAATGAGCTCCCACAGAGATGGGAGCTAAGGCGTGTGTGCGCCTGGGTCACGTCCGTCTCCCTTTCACCATAAAAGCCAGGTCATGTCCGTCTCCCTTTCATCCTAAGAGTGTGCTCCGGAGTCCCTCCCCTTCCCAGGCAGACCCTCCCTCCTCGGGGAATTCTCCTAAGAATTCACTTAAACCTGTCACTGAATGCCTTCCGGATGCCTCAGCCTGGCAGGTGGAGAGAAGTCTGTCTCTGTTCCCCGAGGGGACCGCCCCATGGACGGAATTGAACCAAAAGTGACTCATGAAAACGAAACGTCTCCCATGGTCCTGCTCTGACGTCATGAGAACACGCCAGTCAGGGTGAGTCAAGGGTTTCAAAGAGGACATTGCAGTTTTTAGGGCATTTCTAATATTTTTAAGCCGGAAAAATGTAGCCTCCCCTGGATGGTCCCCAAGGGCCTTCCAGAGAATGAGTACTTATTCTCTTGTTTTTTTTTTAATTGTGTAATTTTTATTGTGTAAAACACACATCATGTAAATTCATCATCTTAACCATTTTAAGTGCACAGCTCAGCGACGTGAAGCACATTCACACTGTTGTGCACCCATCCCCACCATCCTTCTCCAGAACTTTCTTATCCTCCCAAACTGAGATTCTGTCCCCATGAAACACTGACTCCCCTCCCCTCCCCCAGCCCCTGGCCCCACCATCCACTTTCTGTCTCTGTGGATGTGACTCCTCTAGGGGCCTCCTGTGAGGGGATCACACAGTGTCTGTCCTTCTGTGTCTGGCTCATGTCACTGAGCATCGTGTCCTCAAGGTCCATCCACGCTGGAGCAGGTGTCAGGATTGCCTTCCTTTTCAAGGCTGCGTAATATTCCAGTGTGTGCATGGACCACGTTGTGTTTATCCATCATCCCTCCATGGACACTGGGGGTGTTTCCACTTTTGTCTGTTGTGAGTCACGCTGCTGTGAACGTAGTGTGCGGATACCTCTTTGACGTCTGCTTTCAATTCTTTTGGGTCTATACCCAGAGGGGGGATTACAGGATCACATGGTGACTCTATGTTGAACTCTTTGAGGAATCTCTCTTGGTTTTGTGAAGGTCAGTTAGGGTGAAAACGCAAAGCTGTGCTTTCCCCACCTACATTTAGGGACCCTCCACCCGGGCTCAGCCTGGTGAGAGCCGGGGCCGGGGCGGGGGAAGGAGAGAGATGGAGGGGGTGCTCAGGGCAGGAGCAGGAGACCAGGAGGGCAGAGGGACCGTGATGGAGGGGGCATCAGAGAAGGGGCTTGCCCTGGAGTCAGGGTCTTGGTGGAGGGAGTCACAGGACCCCATATCTGTGCCTCGTCTCCTCGTCTGGATGGCGGGTGACGGTGGGGCCACGCTGTGGGGCGGGGAGCTCAGACGTGACCTGCAGGCCCTTCTCCCCGAGGCCGCGGCCAGGCAGCTGGGCCAGAGCAGGGCAAGTGCTCCCTGTGCCTGAGGATTCTGTGTGGGGGCAGACGAGAAAATCACGACGGGGCCAGAGCAGGACTGTAGGACGGAGAGGAGCATGGGGGGACAGAGAGACAGCGAGAGAGAGAGAGAGACGGAGATGGCAGGAAATGAAGAGCTGGGTCGGGAAGACCTGCTCCCTTAAGCTCTCTGCCAGCTGGGCTCCAGCCTGGGGTGACCCCGTGTTGGGTGTGGGGTGTGTGGGGGCGTCGTGGTCTCTGAGACGGGACTGGTTCGTGGGGATCGAGGCCATGGCCCGAGCTGGGAGTGGACATGGCTTCTTTGCACTTACTTGTTTTGGGGGAACGTTCAGAAGCTGGTGCCAAGGGGCGTTATGGGGTCAGGGGAGAGTCTACTGAGGCCCCAAGAGCTGGACCCACTATGGCAGGGGGGTGTCTTCCAAACTAGGTGACACCTGAGTTGCCACTTGGTGACGCAGCCCATCTGGCTAAGAAGAGTGGCCGGGGAAGCTAGAGAAGGGCTGGCCATGGGGGAGGCTGGCCCTGTGCACCTCAGCCGGGTGTCTGGTGCAGCCCACGACCGGTGCAACAGTCCTGGGCAGCCCTGAGCAGAGGTGACAGAAGATTAATTGAGAAAAGGGACAAGGCCCTCTGTGGTCGGGAGAATAACGGCCTCAGAGACATCCCCATCCTGGTCCCGGGACCTGAGGACATGTCACCTCACGTGGCAGAGGGGACTTTGCAGATGGATTAACTTGAGGCCCCTGAGATAGAGGATGACCCTGGATTCCCCGGGGCCCATTGCAGCCCCTCCATCACAGGGTCCTCATCAGAGGGAGGAGGAGGGTCAGAGGCAGAGAGAGATGGGAGACGCTGCGCTGCGGGCTGTGCAGACGGAGGAAGGGGCCCCGAGCCCAGGATGTGGCCTCTAGAAGCTGGAAAAGGCAGGAGACGGTTCTCCCTGGAGCCTCCGGGAGGAAAGCCCTGCGCACACCCGGAATTTAGGACTCCTGACCCCAGAACGTGAGATGACAAGTGTGTGTGGTTGGAAGCCACCAAGTTTGGTGACTTGTCACAGCAGCCACGGGAGACTCGCAGGTCCTGGGAGCAGTGGATGGAGGGACGGTGGTCGGCCCCGGGGAGGATGTGTTGGGAGACGGCGGAGGAGCCACGAGACTCATCACGGGGTTGTGTTTGAGGCCCTGAAGCCGCCTTCCCAGAGCGGGTGTGGGGACCCGCATATGGTTCTCGGGGCTGGGACAGAATTGCCGGAACCCCAGAGAAGAGGTGATTGCAGCCACGAGGGGCCGACTGCAGGCCCAGGCTCTCCCTGTGGACACGGGCCCCACCTCCCGCCTCGGACCCAGGTGTCCTGCGGACCGGGCCCGCCTCCCCTCTCAGACTGTCTCTGTTCCCCGATGCAGCCCCCCACCCCTCCCTCGGGGACCCTGCAGCGCTGCCCCAGCTATTTCGGGCCACACCGCCTGCTGGGCACGGCATGGGCCATCTTCAAGATGATTTCCTAAAATAGTGGGTTTTCCCTGCAGCAGCCGTGGATGGAGGGGCTGTAAGGAGGCGACAGGCCTGGGGGCGGCAGGGGCCCGGCCCCCCGGGGTGGTGAGCGGGGCTGGGGGCCCAGAGGCCAAGGCCGGCTGGGCATCCATCATCGGGTCCTGGACCAGTGCCGGACCTCATTTGCCCGCCCCAGGGGCTTGCCCTATGGTGACCCCGTGTGTGTGGAGGGGAAACTGAGGCACGGGCGGGCGAGGACCCCGCGGCCCCACACGGGCGGCAGCAGAGCTGGGGTTCAGGTCCAGCACTCTCACCTCTGACCAGAATGACCTCATCGGCCCGGTGCAAGCCTGGTGGACACGTGGAGCCCAGTTAACAGGCCTCCAGCCCCTCCTGAGACCATTGGCCAGACCCCGCACGCGCCGACCGGGGGCTCCGAGGACGACGGGGGAACCACATGGCCAGGGCGGTGGGACGGGCTCTGTGGCAGCAGGACGGGGCTGGCCCTACCAAAGACGGCCACTCGCTCACTGGACAAGCATCGAGTGAGCACTGACTGCATACCACATGCCGGGAATGGACGTGAACCCCACAGCCTGGGGGGCGGGGGACAGCGACCAAGAGAAGCAAAAGAGACAGAGGGCGAGGCCAGGGTGGCCCCGCCAGTTTATTTCAGGACACGTGGACAGGCAGTGTGGAGGGGGTGTGGCAGGGGGACCCCCTTAAGCCCCTGAATCGAGCCCTTTTCTCTGCCAGGTGGGGGCCGTGCCCGGAGACCCCAAAACTTGGGAGCCTTGCTGAGTCACCACGGAGGGGGCACCAGGGCGGCACAGGGCCCTCAGACCGGGAGGTCCCCCGGGGGTCGGTGTGGGGCAGGTCCCCCCTCACTCTGGGACTTCTCAGACCCGAAGCCCATCCCGGTCCCAGGACCCCGCCTGCCTCCCTCCCCACCCGCCCCTCCACCCTCAGACTAGTGGGAACCACTGCATTCGGAGCCGGGGGAGGCGGGGAGCCGGCCTCCCTCCTTCTCGGACCCGACAGCGTTTGGCAAAGTCTCAGAAGCGGAAAGAATCGACAGGGGTCCGTGTCAGCCCCAGCTTTGGACCCAAAAAGCAGAACGATTTCCCAGGAAAATGAAAACAGAAGAGAAAGCCGATGAGTCAGGAAGCGTGTCCGCTGGGGGTTGTCGGCCCAGATCCGTGGCTCTTGGTCTGCGGGTTTGAACAGGAACCTATCCTCTAAGGGGGGGGGGCTTGGGGAAGGTCTTGGCAGCTCCCACAGAGTCAGAGCCGGGCGGGGGTGGCGCCCCGTCCCCAGGCTCAGTCCTCGTCCTCACTGGTGTAGATGCCGGCCTCCCAGCGCTCCGCCCTGGCGCTCTTGTGGCGGGTCACCCTCGTGGCTTCCAGGATCTGCAAGAGGGAGGCAGGGGGTCCCCGTCAGGGTCCTAACCCGCCCCCAGGTGTCCCCCCCACCGCCGACTCACAGGAGAGGCCTTGTTCAGGGGTAAAGCAGGACCACCCCCTCTTCTGCTTCAGACCCTCTACTCCTCGTGATGGTGCCAGGAATCTAACCCACGCCGAGCAGGGGCCATGCCTACATCTGGCCTTCTGGACTCAGCTCAGGGAGGCCACAAACAAATTCCACAAACCCACCAAGGCCACTGGCCTTCTGCTCACTCTCAGATGGACCCCGCCCCCCAAAGAAAATGCCCTTGTCTTGGGCCCAATCTGCCACAACCCTTCCCCATCTGGTGAAGAGGTGGCACATGGACCCCTTTCCACAGTCTGTGCCCGTGGCAGGCATCACCAGCCGATCACAGCAAAATCCACCACCATCAATGGAGAAGATACCCAGTGACGTCCCCATGCCCAGGAGAAGGGCTTCTGGTGGCCAACACCACAAGGCAGGGGACACAGATGGGGGAGGAAGACTCTGGCCCTCTCCCCAGTAGCCGCTCACCTCTGAGTTGACTTCATCGGCGGGGTTGATGCCTGCATACTGCGAAAAGGAACATACGTCAGCCCCGGGCCCTTCCCGCCCTGCCCACCCCACAGCCCACCTGGAACTCAATGCACAGCCCGCCCAGCCACCGTGTGGGGCAGAAGGGAAGGTGACCCTGCCCACAGTGGTCCCCTGAATGCCCCTCGGTCACCTCAACCTCAAAGCCACCCCCCATGCTGTCCCCTCATGCTGTTCCCCTCAGTGAAGCCTCAGTCTGTCCTTTGCAATTTTTTTTTCTTATAAACGTCATCCAAACAAAGGGGGTTACATTTCTGGAGCTGGGCCTGGCTCTAAGGCTCAGAGGGGGCTGTTCTTACTCTCATGCTCATTTCACAGAGGAAGAGACCAAGGGTCAGAGTGGGGCAGGGACTCGCCCAACATCACACGGCCGGCAAGGGGCAGGGTTGGGACTTGAACCTGGGTCACTGGGCTCCACTCTGTGCCCCAAACTCCTGGGCAGGGCTGCGAGCACCAGGTGTGAGAGGCTGCGTGGGTGTGATTGTCCCTGACGTCCCCAGTGCCCCACCCAGGGAGGAGCTTGCTTCACAGTTACAAACGTGGGTGTGGGCTCAGGCCTGGGTTCAGGTCACGGCTCAAGAGGTCACGAGCCTGGTGCCCTTGGGTGTGATAAGACGACCCTCCCAGGCCTGGTGCCTGCAGAGTCCTGGGCACATCACACACAATCATAAATGACAATGACAATAAGCACATTAAATAATAGTGATGATGGGGGCCAGCCCCGTGGCATAGCAGTTAAGTGTGTGTGCTCCGCTGCTGGCGGCCCAGGTTCGGATCCCGGGCGCACACCGATGCACCGCTTGTCAGGCCATGCTGTGGCGGTGTCTCATATAAAGTGGAGGAAGATGGGCACAGATGTTAGCCCAGGGCCAGTCTTCCTCAGCAAAAAAACAAGAGGATTGGCAGATGTTAGCACAGGGCTGATCTTCCTCACAAAAAATAAATAAATAAATAAAAATAAAAATAAATAATAGCGATGACGATAAGTTGCCTCCTCCAAGCAGAGGTTGTCTGTTAGCCTATGATTGGGGGGACGACCTTGTAGGGGGACCCTGCGGACGTGGCCTCTGAGAGCAGACCCCTGATGTGAAGAGACGCCTGGTGTGTCCAGTCTACACCTCACATGTTGGGGAGACCGAGGCACAGCCACTCGAGGGGCAGTGAGGGAGACGGGACTTGAAACCGGGTCACACTTGAGTCTCACTCTCCCCTCCGCGGCCCTGATGGGGGTGTCAGGCCCCCGGGGGACAGGCTGGGCTCTAGACTCACCCACTGCTCCTTTCTCTTCCTCTGCACGGGGGCGGCCCCGGCCGGGGCCTCCACCGTCCACACCAGGCCCGAGTTCAGGTGGGTGGGGGAGACGTGCACCTCAGACACCGAGTAGCTGCCCGTGATGCCTGTGGGGGCGGGGGGAGGAAGGAGCCTCAGGGAGCGTCCCAGAGTCCCTTGAGGGCAGGACATCTGTCAGACCCCAGCCCTGGAGACACGGAGTCACTGGCCAAGTGGCTGGACCAGGTAAGGAGACGGGCGAATGGACACGCAGACCACTGACAGACAGATTGACCAAAATAGCCAGAAAAAACTGGACGGACACATGCGCCGACTATGCGAGGTGAAAAACATTAAAAGTGACACAGGGGATATTTCAGATTGATGAGAAGGAGCCATCTGCCAAGAGGACACATCTATAAACTTTATGCGCCTAATAACAACCTGTCCAAATCCGTAAAGCAAAAAGCCCCAGGCAAACTTGCGTCTCTCTCCAAAGTCTACAGCCTAAGCAGACAGGCAGACAGACCAGCCAGCTGGGCTAGTGGACGAAAGCCCCCAGACGTGCCCCCACCCTCAGCCCCCCTGACACCCCCAAACTCCACCTCCCCACCCTCCTCCATCCCATCTCTAAGACCTGGAGCAAAGCAGCCATTCCCGGGACCCCTCCTCACCGGATGCCTGGGAGGAGCCCCTGGAGCCGTGGTCACGGTCCTGGTCTGGCGACGTCGGGGAGAAGACCTCTGGGAAGAGAGCGCTCCTCCGCTCCTCGGCCACCTCCCGCTCCCGCCTCAGCACGCTCTCCATCTCCTTCTCCAGCATCTCAGACGACTGGGACTTTTGGAGCCTCAAGGGGGGGGCCCCAGACACCTCCCAGCCCCAGACCCGGGAAACCTCGGCCTTCTGGGGGGCATCCGGGACCCCGAAGCGCAGGGGACGGAGGTGGAAGTTCTCCACTCGCACGACGCCCCCGTTGGCTTGCAGGCATCCCTGCGGGGGCTTCGAGTGTTCCTGCTGTGTGCCTGAGGGTTTTCCAGAGGATTCCAGCAGATGCCTCTGATACCCTACCACCTTCGGGGAGCCCACAGCCTTTGCCTCATCTGCAGAGGGACCGCTGGGCCTGCCGTATGCGTGGAAGGCTGGGAACTCCGGCCGGGGGGTCCCGGAGCCCAGGTACGGCTGGTAAGCATCAGGCGGGATGCGGTTCACCTTCCTCACCTCGGGGGCAGGGTCGGCCGCCCTGGCGTCTGGGGCCGGGCCGAGGATGGAGTCCGAGCTGAGTGCTCTCCGGAGCCCGGCCGCCGGCACGCCCTCAGAGGCCCAGTCGGGGGTGGCCGCCCGGCCCACCTGCAGGCCCTCCCGCCGGTGCTCCTGCTCACGCTGCGTCTCCTGCACCAGGTCGCGCTGCACGTAGAGCGACGGGCGCCCCCTCTCCCGCCGCGGCGCCTCGGCCAGGCTCACCTTGGTGAGCAGCGGCCGGGTGAGGACCTCCACCAGCTCCTGGTGGCCGGCCGCCCCCCGCAGCCCCCGCTGCTCCCGCAGGGCCGCCTCGCGCTCCTGGGCCAGCCGGATCTCCCGCTCGATGGGCGTCTCCTTGGGAGCCTCCGGGGCCTCCACTTGGGACCAGGAATCAGGCTCGTCCACAGCTTGGACCCCAAACCCGGCGGGCAGACCGCGGACGCTCTTCTCTTCCAGGATCACCTCCTTCACCTGTGGCTTGACTGCGACTACATACCCATTGGCCAGGGGGGGCCTGTTCAAGACCTGGGGGGCCTGGCCGACCCCGGGTGGGGGACGCGTGGGGGCCGCCCTGGCCGGGGGTCTCCGAGGGGCCTCTGCGTTTGCCTGCTCCAGGTTCAAGAACTGCCTCCTGGCTGCCAGGAAGTCGATCTGCTCCCTGTCGACCGCATCTTCCTCCCAGGGCACGGGCTGAGGGCGGCCGGGGCTCCCCCGCCCCCCGTGGTCAGGGGTGCCGTGGAACGTGGCCACCGTGCCACTCTTCTTCACCGCCTGGCCCTGGATGACCACCCAGCGCTCCTGCTCCAGGTCCCGTGGCCGCCTGGGCGGGGCGTCCGTGGCACCCAGGCGGTAGGCCTTCACCTCCTCATCCTCATCATCCTCCACGTAGAGGGACCGCAGGGACGGCTGACCCGGGACAGCCTTCGTGTTGGAGGACACCGCCGTCCGCACCACGTTCACCCGCGCCTTGTGGTCAGCGGGCCACCCCTGCAGCTCGTCCCGGTCCCAGCCGCTGGCCGGGGGCCCCACGGTCACCAGCTCAAAGGTATAGCTGTTGTCACCGTCGAAGGCGGGGCCGGTCACGCGGGGCGAGTGGGGGATGCTCAAGATGGGGTATCTGGTCACACGGTCCATTTTCTGGGGTCTCAGCCTGCCACGGGCTCCCAGGTGAAGACGTGCTGGGCTCACTGAGGGAGGAGAAGGAAATGACAGCCACCAGGTCAGAGGACGTGGGGACAGGCACAATTTCTAGTCCCGTAAAGGGCAAAGTCCTGGCCACATGATTGGCTGTGATGGGCTCAGGGATGAGTACCCAGCCCTGCCAATCAAAGCATTCCATTCCCCTGGCCTCTCTGATTGGTTCAGGGATGGGTAAGGGACCCAGCCCTGCCAATCAAAGCATTCC